TACAGATGGGAGCTGGAAACACAGGGAATCCAGGGCGGATGATTCCTTCAGGACCAGTGGTGTGAGTGGCGATACTAGGAGGGTAGAGGGAGGGTGGGTTGGAAGGGGGAAACCGATTACAAGGATCTACATGTGACCTCCTCCCTGGGGGACGGACAACAGAAGAGTGGGTGAGGGGAGACAGCGGACAGGGCAAGATATGACAAAATAATAATTTATAAATTATCACGGGTTCTGGAGGGAGGGGAAAAATGAGGAGCTGATGCCAGGGGCTTAGGTGGAGAGCAGAAGTTTTGGAAATGATGAGGGCAATGAAAGTACAAATGTGTTTTACACAATTGATGTGTGTATGGATTGTGATAAGAGTTGTATGAGCCCCTAATAAAACGGTTTTAAAAAAGAGCCCCCAATAAAATGATTATTAAAATAAAAAAACTCTGCATCGCAAATCTTAACCTCTGACAGGCTCAGTCTCTTCTGGTCCTGTTGCCCACTTACACCCAGCTATCGTCTCGTGTCACTGCAACTATCTCCGTAGCAACTTGACCCGGTCATTTTCTAAGCGCTCATATGGAGCTCTGGTGGTCCAGTGGGCTGGGAATGGGGCTGCTCAGTACAGTATTGGCAGCTGAAACCCTCCAGCTGCTCTGTGGAAGCAGGATGGGACTGGCCCCTGTAACTATGGAAAGACTCGGAAACTGTGGGGCAATTCTACGCTGACCTGCAGGGTCGCTATGAATCGGAGGTCTGGGGTTTTGTTGTACTGCCCTCTCTACCTACTCGACCTACAGGCACATCGTGGAGATAGCAGAGCCCTGCAATAAAGTGACTGGCCCACTTATTTTTGAGTTTTCCAGTGCTTGTAAAATTCATGTTTACATTGTGTACTCTATTAAGTGCGCAGCTATTCGAACCCATTCCTCAGAGAAAGATGAGGCTGTATGCGTGTGTAAGAGGGAAAAGTCTTGGAATCCCCAAGGGGCAGTTCTTCTCCATTTCTTCAGGTCACTGTGTGTTGGACTTGACTCAGTAGCAGTGAGTTTTTTGGGGCCCACTTACCCTAATTTCCATGCATACTCCTCCATTAGCTAATTCTTTCATTTTAATTGTTTGCATGCCATCTGCTCAGGAAATTCCAGAGCTCTTTGTGGTCAAGAATCCTATCTCTTTCACCTGTGTTTTCCAGATTACCACAGCAATACTTACTATCTGTAGAAATCATTAAAAAACTATCTGATTCAAACAGGCTAGTCACATGGCATGCGGGAATCCATAATCTCTTAACAGGAAGATAGTAAGAGTTTGGGCATTACATACAGACTCTAAACTTATCCTGTAGTTTTTAAACTCAAGTCTATAGTCTGTTGCTGCCATTTGCTGACACAATGCACCTTGGAATGCTCGTACATGAACTGACTCTTCTCTATAGAATACAAGTAAGACCCAGTATCTTCTCAGCTGCCTTACTGTTGGTTGTTTTGTTGTTGTTTTGTTTTTTCAGCATAAACTAGAATGGAAGTTGCAGCAGAAGGAGGAAGAGATTGCTGAATTGCAGAAAGCTCTAAGTGATTTGCAGATCTGCCTTTTCCAGGAACGGGAACACGTTTTACGTCTCTACTCAGAAAACGACCGACTGAGAATCAGGTACCGAGGACGAGAACTATAGTAGTTAGGGTTTTAAAGTCCTCTAGACAAGATCAGCATCTTTTGACAGCCATTCACTTTGCTTGTATTCCCAGGAAACAGACTGAGACGATGCTTTGATTGCAGGGTAGTTATCGGGGAGGCTTTCAGGAGTACCCATGAGCAGATGTGGGGAGTGGGAGAATTTGAACTGTAGCACAGTGGGGGCAGAAGCCTCAGACAGTGCTGTAGAGAGCTCCAAGACAGGTGTGGCCTTTCAGAGGCAAAGGGGTTGGTGCAGCCCCACATTGACCCTGGGAAGGATAAAAAATTGGAAGAAGCATCCCTTTTCAACCAAAGACAGTATCTGTAAAGGTCTCAGCTCCTAGGAGATGGGCATCTTGGTCCCAAAGGGGCTTCTTCAGTATATTTCTGCACTGCTCACATCCATTTGCTTATCATCATAAGTTCACCCTGGGTTCCTGATTTATTTCTTCCTGGGGAAATTTACAAGAAAGTTAGAGAATCTTCTAAAGCTAATAGAAGTCGACCAAGTTGCAGGATCCAAGGTCATCCAGCAGGAATCAATTGAGTCTATATGCTCGCAATGAGAACTCTGCAGTGGGAGGTGCTGTAAATTCCATTTACAATAGCATGGAAGAGGTTAAAATACCCAGGAATAAATCGAATCGGGGACATGAAAGCGTTAAGCCAGGCAAATGATAAAACACTGCTGGCAGAGATTAAAGAAGACCTAAAGTGAAAAGATGTTCTTTGTGCTCCAATTGGAAGACTGAGCAACTATCTGTGGTGGTGGTTGCTGTGAGCTGTCATGGAGTCTGTTCTGACTCACAGCCACCCAATGTCCCACAGACTGAAACACTGCCTGGTGCTGCGCCTGCCTCCCGATTGTTCTTATGGTCTAGCCCATGATAGCAGCCCCTTGTCAGGGGTCTTCCTCTTTTTCATGGGCCCTCTACCAAGCATGATGGCTTTCTCCAGGGACAGGTTCTGTTATGGACCTGGAGCGATTACCCTTTTAATGGAAGGAGATCAAACACAAGGCTGCAATATGGACCTGGAGCGATTACCCTTTTAATGGAAGGAGATCAAACACAAGGCTGCAATAACAGAAGAGGTTTTATTATGCTAGCTTAAGCCAGGGCTCGAGTCCTCAGGTGCCGTGTACGTCTTAGACAAGAGCCCTGGACAAAGGAAATTCCAAAGTATTTATTTACAAGGGATACATAACAGGGTGTTCCCAGCCCCCTCTCCCGTCAATCCACTGATTGGCTGATTTGAGGTAGATTGGCAGTCTGGTCTTTTGTGTAGTTCTGCGCTGGCCGAATTGTCCTCCCATTGGCGGTTGGGCCCATCGTCTCGCTCCCAGGTTGGCTAGCCTCAGTTTCTGGGTACTTCCTACTTTGCACTGCTAGGAAACATGAAACCAATGCCTGCCCGCGATTGCGGAGCCAGCCACGGGGCCAATCTGGCCTTACAGTTCAAAGTACATGAGATGAAGTCTCACCATCCTTGCCTCTAAGGAGCATTTGAGCCATTCTTCTTTCAAGACATGCTGCGTCTGCTTTCTTGGTTCTACAGGATTCCATGTCTGGATCAAACACACTAAGTCTTCAACACAAGGGCCAGCTGGAGGGAGACAAAGCAAACCCACGTCTGGAATTTGTGTCAGAGAAATCACTGTCTCTTCCACGGTTCATTATAATCAGCTTACCAGCAAGTGGCTATTGGTCTCCTGGAAGGTGGTGCTCAGCGTTGTCCAGAATTGAGTCAGAGACATCGAGCGTTTGTGCCCCTTCATTAAGCAGGCAGAGCCCTGGGGGCCGTAGCTGAGTTAGGCAGTTCCCTTCAGCTGAGGGCAGGTCTGGTGGAGAACAGCTCAGTAAGGAGCCACCAGCAGGCAATGTTCCCAGAAGCTGGGGAGTAGGGATCTGAGCGCACCCCTCAGCGTTGCATGGTAGTTCCCTTCTAGCACTGGCCGAGGAAGTATTTCCTGGCCCTTCCCTCTGTCCTGAGAACAAACACAGAACACTTTCACATCTGGAGGTAAGGCCTAGGTGAATCCTGTCCAAGTTTAATTTGAGGTTACTATTTTAAAAATAAATCAGTCAGTCGGGAGATGCTTTAAACAGAAAAGTCATTTACTCTTGACATGTAATTTGTACTTACTTTCGATGAGAATTGCAGGGAGGTAGAAGACAAGAAAAAGATTCAAAGCCTCTTGGCTCTTGTGGGAACAGACACTGGAGAAGTGACCTATTTTTACAAGGAGCCTCCCCACAAAGTAAGTAATCGCTGGTCTAGCTCGGTGAGTACGGCTTTTATTACAAAATCCCAGACCAAGCTCCATCATCAGAACACTTTGCTGAAGAAGACAGACAGACAGACTCAGCCCGAAGAGTCTCAGGTTTACCTGAGCTTTCCAAGACCCTTCTGCTATTACAGAGAGCATTATAATTGTATTGTTTCCTTTGAAAAACCTTAGGAAGTAGTATTGCTGATCCCCTTTCACTCCTTAGAAACCTGAAGCACCAAGGGGTAGGTGTTGTGGCTGAGATAAGGGGAAAGCAAGCCAGGGGCAGACCGCGTGGGTGGGAGTTCTTCAGTCTGTTTTAAATCTCTGTGGACACGCATCACAAAAGTCATACTCAATGGGCTTTGAAAACAATAGCAAACAGAATGCAGCAATGTATCCTATCCACGTCAGTCTCTCTTAGAATCTTTTACCCCAGAATAAACCATTATTAGTAGTTGGTATCTCTTCAACTCTTTTCCGTTCCTACAGCAATATTCGTCTGGATGTGAGTACTAGCTTCACCTTTCTCACTTTATCCATAGATGCACTTGCATACTCAGCTTCTAGTAGCTCTTTCCTACCAGCCCTTGTCAGAATAGCCTTGTGATTTCCTTTTATTTTTTAATGTATATCATGAAAACAGGGTTTTATGCAGTGTTACTTTTCCATGTAGCCTCTACTATTTATAGCATCCTTATATGAGTCTACCATTTTTAACTAATGTACATTTGCCTGATTAGTCCAAAGCCAAGAAGAGAAGGCCAGGAGGGGGAGGGGCACTGAAGGGATGGAAATGAGGAGAGTGCTGACACTTCATGGGGGTAACCTCATTTTACTAGATAAGCACAGTAAAATGTTGGGGAGAACATTGAACCCATTTAAAGTATTGTTTTAATAGTCTTATTGATATAAAATTCATATAATGTATATCCATAGATAAGTCGCTTTTAAAGAGTTGTATGTACATCATCACCATGAGTTGTAGTGTTCCTTCCCCTCCCTCATTCACTATTTGCTCCTCAACTTCCCTTCCCGGCCCTCCGCAACGCTTCCTCCAAACCATGGCAGCAGTATTGTCCCTATGCATATACTCCTGTGCTTCATAAATTGGGAAACCTAACAAAAAAATTTTAAAACCAAAATGAAGCAGAAAGAATCATATAAAGACCCCTCAGGACCAATAATGAGGGTACCGATACCAGGAGGGAAGGGAAAGGTGGGGGGAGAAAGGGAGAAGCGATCACAATGATCTACATATAACCCCTTCCCAGGGGTATGGACAACAGAAAAGTGGGTGAAAGGGAGACATCAGTCAGAATAAGAATGAAAAATAATTTATAAATTATCAAGGGTTCATAATGGAGGGAAGGTGGGGGAGGGGGGGAAATGAGCTGATACCAAGGGCTCAAATAGAAAGAAAATGTTTTGAGAATTGTGATGGCAACATATGTACAAATGTGCTTGACACAATGGATGGATGTATGGATTATGATAAGAGATGTAAGAGTCCCTAATAAAATGATTTTTTTTAAAAAAGTAAGAAATTTCCATCATGGAGCAAGCAATAAATATTTCATAAACCTAGAGCAAATTCAGGTTGGGTCAAGAGGGATGTCAACTCACTAGGTATCATACCTTAGTTCCATCAACTGTAATCAAGTTGACAATCATCTCTGTCTGATAGCAACGCTGTTCTCCCTGACTATGGCCAGAGGGGATCTCCCACAGGCTTCATTTTGGACTCCCACTCTCCTCCATACCAAACCAAATTGGGTGTTCACAATTTAAGTTCTGATACTTTTCCCTGTGTCATATTTAGAATTTTTTATTGTCATCTTTGCACCACATGGGCTGGTGTGCTTCTTCCATGTGGACTTAGTTGACGCCTCACTTAGATGGCTGCTTGTTTGAATACAAGCCTTTAAGACCCCAGGCACTATTCCAATCCATAGCCAGGCACCATCTGCTTTCTTCACCATACTTTGCTATAGCACCCTTATCTTCAGTGATCTCTTCATGAAGGTGGTATCGAACAGGGTCATATATAACCCACTTAACTTCTGAATAGTATTTGATCTGTGGGGCTCAGGTTAAAAGTGGAATATTACATATGTAAGAGCATCACTTCTATATGTCTTTTTGCTTCTCAGGTCACCATTCCTCAAAAGGTTATACAGATTATAAGTAAGCAGGAACAGAATGAACCTCCAGAGTTAAAAGCAGGTAACAACCATATGATTGTAAATGCTCATTGGTTCAGAATTTAAAAGCACAGTGCCAATAATCGGATTCTATGTGTAGAAATCAACTTGAAGGCAGTGCACGTGGCTTGGGTTTACATGTTCATCATATCCCTAAAGATGCCCCTGGTGAGCTAAGATCCTACTGAGCTTCCTGAGTCATCCAAGGCACTCAATTTTGTTCCGTTCCATCTCAGTGCTGCTTATTTATAAATAATCTTGTCTTCTGAATGTATTGAATGGGACTTCATTTCCAAAAGAGTTCAATTCCGTTGTTTTTATTTCTTGCCCTCCCTGAATAAGTAAGACAAAAGACAGTGAAATTCCAGAGTCCCCTTACTGATTTCATTTGCTAAAATCAAGCACAGTAATTGGTGTGTGCTTCCTTCCCTTCTTTAAGTACATGAAGCTGACTTCCTGTGCAGGGGTGACCAGTACTTGTGTAGCAGGGGAAACTGAGTAAGGTTTCGTGTTCGCTCTTTTAGATCCTAAAGTAAGCCAAAGAAGACCAGCAGTGAGAGAGCGGGAAGAAAGTTCCGAGCAATACCAAAGAGACATACAGACACTTATCTTGCAGGTAAAGAATTTGTTGGTAAATCTATACGGTTTCTATCACAAGCTTTGCTTTGTCTAACTTACACTTTAATAAAAGTCTGGTCTGGCAGAGAGTAGAGGAACCCCTGAGGCTATAACCTGAAGACACCTTTCTGACCAGAACTAAAGCCCTCCCCAGATACCACCTTTTAACCAAATAGGCAGGCTCATCAAATAAACAGCTTTAGCTCTGACAGACCAGTAAGGCTGGTCGTTTTGGCCACCTTGATCTTTTGTTGGACATTTTTCTTCTGCTTTGTCTTGGTGGAGTGGTTGGGAGTGGTAACTGGTGGTTCTCGTCTCAGGGCCCTGTGGGCTGTGGTCCCTGTGGGCCCTTAGTCCTTTGGACTAATTGCTCCCGGGAGTCTTTGATGCTCTGCACTCCCCTTTGCCCTGAACAGGAGAGACCAATAGCTGTGTCTTAGATGACTACTCGTAAGCTTTTAAACCCCAGAGACTACTCATTATCTTTCTGAACTATGTTGTGCCAATTAACATAACTCTCTCCTGAGCTTTGCTCCTTTGCCTTGAGCCCATGAGGTGTTTGATTTATGTCTAAGCCGTTTCCATGAGTTTCCATGATTTATGTCTAAGCCGTTGTCCCTTGTGTGCCCTGTTGTCTATGTTACTATCTATGCAGCCCCTACAATTACATATGTGTGGGTGTGCTCCCTTACCCCCCGCCCACATCTCGTTAGCATATCTAACTACCTATGTATTGAGTCACAAAGCATGGCTGGTTCATTCTGCGCTTGCCGATTGTGGAATCGTAGGCATCATAATGTATTCTCGCGTTCCTCTCAGTGTCTTCCTTTGCCTTGGTCATGTTGTGCTGACATCCCCCGTGGTGTGTGGCCTTTCCCGTCATCATTATTAACACGCATCATCGAGCTCGTTAGTTATTTCCCCTCTCTTTCCCTTCCATCCTGATAACCATCCCTGGTTTTTAACCCATGTGCAAGCAAGCCTCTTCTGGCGCAAACATAACAGTTGTCAGGACGGCACAGGACCGGGCAGTGTTTCTTCCTGTTGTGTATAGGGTCGCTGTGAGTCGGAGCCAACCTGATGACGCCTAAGGACGACACACCTTTTCTTGTTTGTTCGCTTTTCTTTTGTACAATTGTGTTCTCACGTAATAGTTGTCTTTTTGTGATTGGCTTATTTCACTCAGTATAATGTCCTCCAAATTCATCCATGTTGTGAGATGTTTTACAGATTCATCATTATTCATTATTGTGTAACATTCTGTCATACATATGTACCACAATTGGTTTTCCATATATCTGTTGATGACACTGGCAGTTACATAATCTCCCATCAACTTGAGCGGAGGGGTGGAGTCTAGCCTGTCAATCAGGTCATAGTCAATGAAGCCTATGTGGGCATGGCCTTCTCCTGAGGATTCTCAGAACTCCTGTCTTCCTCCCTGGAGGTGGGGCACACACTCTCTCTGCTTCACATTTTGTTGACAAGCCACACAAAGCTGTGCTGATGGCAGCCAGGAGCCACGTGGAGAGCTGCCCCAGCACTGAGGAGCTTCCACAAGACTCTCCCCCCACTGGCCTGTGATCTTCCTGCTTTCAGCATCATTGCATGTGTTGCGTGAGTCTGTAGAAGAATTTATGGACTAGTCTCAGACATACGGGCTATGATTGGACTTATGGGCTGATATTGAACTTCTGAACTAGACCTGGACTAGGCCAGAATGTTTTCTTATTATACAATTACCATATGTACTTGAGTATAAGCCAAGGCACCTAATTTTACCACAAAAAAACTGGGAGGCTCTTTCAGCATAAAAAATGTGCTGAAAAAACTCGGCTTATACTGGAGTATATACGGTACTCTTGGATATGAAGTTCTTTCTTTCTTTTTTTTTTTTTATGAAGTTCTTTCTTACACATATATGAGTGTTGATGAATTTGTTTCTCTAGTCAACCCAGACTAACACAGACACTTAGGTTGAGTACGTCACTTCCAAAGTTATTCTAGAAGTTAGACCTCATCCTCTTGTTTTAGGTGGCACTGGCTCAGTTCCGACTCCTAGTGACTATGCATAACAGAACACTGCCCGGCCCTGCGCCATCTTCACAGTTGTTCGATTTGAACCCATTGTTGCGCCTACTCTCAGACTATCTTGTTGAAGGTCCTCGTTTTCATTGCTCCTCTACTTCAGCATTCATGGTGGTCTTTTCCAGGGACTAGTCCCTCGTGACATGTTCAAAGGACATGACAAGTGTTGCCATCCTCCCTTCTAAGGAGCATTCTAGCTGAACTTCTTCTGAGACAGATGATTTTGTTCTGTTGGCAGTCCGTGGTACTTTTAAGTATTCTTCACCAGGTTTGCATTGCTCTCCCTTATTCAGTGTGCGACTTCCGCATACATAAGAGGCAGCTGCAATTGTTATGGTTTGGATCAGCCATACCGTAGTTTGTTTGTTTTTAACCGTTTTATTGACATTTAATCCACATGTCACAGAATTCAGTAGTTCAATCATAACAAGATGAGTTGTTACCACAAACATCCATTTCACAACCTTTTCTCCCCCTCTCTCCATGGTCCAGTCACCTTTAAAATGAGTTGTGTAATCAGCATCTGTTCTTGAGAGTGCTCCCCTGCCTCCCACAGACATTGTGTGCTCCCACGCCCCCCCCCAACCTGCCCTATGGCATACCTTAGTTCTCAAAGCGACAGCCTTCCTCTTCAACGCTTGAAAAAGGTCTTGTGTCGAAGGTTCGTCCTATGCAATACGTCATTTGACTTCTTGACTGCCGCTTCCATGAGCACTGCTTGTGGATCCAGCCATCCTCTCACCATCTGGCTTTTATATGGCGTGTAGAACTTCATGTTCCTGCTACTTGCACCAAGAGTGCTTCCCTCTGCAGGACAGTCTGTTGATTTAAATGACAATTTTTACCTTTGGCCATTATCTCTCTTGAGAGTCCTGACAACCAGACTCAGGGGGTGGGGGAAATTACATATTATTCATTCATTTTATTCCACTTAAAAAAATTTTTTTAAAAAAAAGATCTTTTTGTATCACAAGAGTCTTTAAAAATCTCAAAAGGGAGCCAGTGAAAAGGTGAGGTTCTAAGGTAGGAAAAACTGGATTTTCTATTTTTTTTTTTTTTGCATGGTATGGACACGGCTTCTCATGGACAAAGAATCTGCTCTTGTTTAACCTAATCCTGTAAGATTTTTTTTATTTCCTATAAGATATTAAATGTAATACAGATAAATTTTTCTACCGCAATTTTCTATGTATTTTGCAACTGTGGTTTGTTTGATTATTTTTAAGTTTTCTAGAGACAGTCTTGCTTTCAGCAGTTAGATCTGCCAGTCAGAAGTGAATGGAGCTCATGCTGACCCCTGGTTGGCCCGTCTTAGGTGGAAGCGCTGCAGGCTCAGCTGGAAGAACAGACCAGGCTGTCTAGAGAACAAGTTGAAGGGCTCATGGAAGACCGACGGATTCGCATTGAGGAAATACAAATTCAGCACCAAAGTAATCAGGAGAAAATCAAGGAGCTAACCAAAAGGTGAGTGTTTAAGAAAAGCTATACCTAAAAGATTTTTGAGTGGCTTAAAGGTAAGTCCCTCACCTTGAGACCAGAGGAGCTAAATGGTACCTGATTACCACCACTGACTGTTCTGATCAGGAACACAGTAGATGGAGGATCGGAGCAGATTGGGAGCAGAATACGGAACAGAG